TGCGCTGCTCCACGCTGAACCCGCTGACGCCCAGCACGCCGATGTGCGCGTTGCGCAGCCGGTCCAGCTCAGTCAGCTCCAGGATCTGTGTGGGTGGTGTGGTGGTAGTGGGTGGTGGGTGGTGGGCAGGGGGGGCAGGGGGGACCAGGTGTCGGCATGGGGGGCCATGGAGGAGGCGCAGGGGAGGGTCCAGGCTGGGATCAGGCCGGGAAGCCTCAGAGGCGCAAACGCATATGCGTGTTCACCCCCAGCTGCCGTACCACCCTGCCCCCCAGCTGCCCCGCAGCTGCCCACCTCCTGGATGAAGTCCTCCCGCGTCTGCTTGTCCACGGTGGAGGGCAGGCGCAGCGTGGCGGAGAAGGCCAGCGCCTCGCCCACAGTGGCCTGAGGCAGGTGCACGTCCTCCTGCTCCACATACCCCGCCACCCGCGCAAACGTGCGCTGGCTCTTGGGGAAGCCGTTGACGCGCACCTCGCCGCTGATGGTGCCCCCCGTCTTTCGCCCGGCCAGCACATCCAAGAGCGTAGACTTACCTGCAGCGGGAGCGGCAGAGACGGAGGGGGGGAGCAGCAGGAGGGGTGAGCGGCGGGCTCATATCAGCGGCGGGCATCCCGGGACCGCTGCTGCCTGCCGCACTCGCAACGTGCTGCACAGCGATACCGGAGCAGTACGCTGGCATGCCCAGTCCCCCGCCCCTACCCCGCAACTGTGCCGGCAGCGCCCCCGCCGCCCACCTGCGCCCGAGGCTCCCATCAGGGCGGACAGCACGCCGGGGCGGAAGGCGCCGTCGACGTGGCGCAGCAGGCGCAGCGTGCCCTCCCCCACCTCGTCGTCCAGGGCCGCCTCCTTGAGCGCGCTCTTGGGGCGCGGCACGTCGTAGCAGATGTCCTTGAAGCTGACAGACAGCGGCTCAAAGGGCATCTTGCTGCGAGGGGTGTGGTGGGTGGGCGCAGCGGGGCGGGCGGGGGACACGTTCGGGGGTGTGGGCTGGGGAGCGCGGTGGTGGTGCAGCGAGAAGGCTTGGCCAGACAAGCAGGCAGGTAAGGGGAGGATGCCGCAGGCCCACGTGGAGCCGTGCACCCCGCCCCTGCCCCCTCACCTCCGCACGCTGCTCTCCACGGTGGCGGCGGGGCCCAGGCTGCCGGCGCCGGGCAGCACGGGCGTGACGGCGGCGCTGCCCTTGGGGGAGGCGGCGGTCAGCCGCATCTCCTTGCCGCCCGCCAGCTTGGCGCCGCCCTCCGCCAGCTCCAACTCCACCACCGCCAGCGGAGCGTGGGCCAGGCTGGCCAGGCTGGAAAGCGCCTTGTGGGACGCGGAGCGCTTGGCGCCGGCCTCGATGTCCTGCAGGGCAGGGCAGGGCCGTGCGGCGGGCGGGGGTGTGGGTGTAAAGTGGAGCGCTGCGTGTGTGGTAAGCGCTCCAGGGCAAGCGCAGCAACCGTGGCGTGCAGTGCAGTGTCCACGCAGCGGCCGCAGCTGCACCAACCCCAGCCTGCCCTCCTCCTGGCCCTCCTTGCCCACCTTGACCACCGACGCGGGCAGGCTGTGCGGCTCCTCCCGCGCCCGGTTCATGTCCAGCTCCTCCATCGCCTCCTGGCTGATCACCGGCTTGCTCTTGGGGCCCTGCACGGGCGGTGGCGGGAGGGACAGGAGGGGGGGGGGGGGGGGGGGGCAGGCAGCTCACACTCCTGTTCAGTCTGCCAGGGCGGAACCACAAGGTCTGCTGCGTGTGGAATGCGTTTGTCAGTGGTAAACAGGCAGACATGGAGACCAGATAAACAGGCAGAGACAGACTGGCTGCCCACCTTCATGAAGGTGGCGGCCAGCACAAAGACGACGACGTTGATGACGATGGAAGCCAGCACCGCGCCCAGCCCAATCCACACCCAGTAGTACTGCGGCACGGGCAGGAGGAAGGGGCAGCGGTGGGGTGCATGGGTGGGGTGCTGGGCCCAGGGGAGCAGCAGCAGCGGCGAGCTTGGGCGTGCTGCGGCGGGCACAGCAGGCAGGCCGGCCGGCCGCACCTCGGTGCCAAAGCCGCGGAAGACGAGGATCTGCGGGACGAGCGGCGGGGCGGGGCGACAAGCGGGCGTGTATGAGGGGTTGTGCAGGTGGTGGAGGGGATTCCAAACAAGGCCCCAGAGGTGAATGCATGGTGAAGTCAGTGCATGGTGAGGTGGCGAATGGCGCCAGGCACACCACACGCACCGTCTCCCCCAGGGTGAGGCCAGAGTCTGGGTCGCTGGGGTCTGGCACGGCCCAGGAGGCGCCCGTGAACTCGTTGACAGCCAGGGCCTGGGTGATGTAGGCCCTGCGGGGAGGGAGGCGAGGAGGAGGGAAGGGAAGGACACTCGGTCAGTCAGCCAGGCAGGAAGATGGAAGGTGGGAGGACTACAGGCTAGGGCTGGGTGAGTGTCCACAGCTGAACGAGAAGCAAACCACAGCAGCAGCAGGGGCATGCCCCCTCACCAGGGGTTGCTCCAGTACGCGGCGATCCACCAGGGCGGGATGGAACCCTTGGTGACGATGAAGCTACGGGAGAGCAGGCGCAGGAGGCACGGCAGGCAGGCAGTAGGAAGGGCAGATGAGGGAGCCGAATGTGTGGCTGCGAGGTGGCGGGCACACGCTGCACGCTTGCCGCTCTGCCTGCTGATCCCCACAAGCACCGCCCCCGCCTTCTCTCACCCGCCGGTGGCCATGAAGACGAGCAGGAAGAAAGAACCCACGGCCGAGGAGACGGTGTCGGTGCGGCACACGCAGGCAATGGCCTGGAACAGAGAGGTGGCCCTGCAGAAGGGCCGGGCGGGTGCAGAGCGGCACAGGGCTGGTTAGGGCAGTGCCGGCCAGCAGGCGCAAAGGGCTGCTAATACACAGCAATGCTACACGTGATGCTGTCTTTGCTGTGCTGGGGTGCGGGCATTTGCGGCTGGCGCACTGACCAGGCGCAGGTGAGGAACAGGAAGAGCCAGAAGATGAGGAAGCGCCAGGAGTTGTCGAAGCCCACGGCCCAGTACGTGATGAGCGACCACAGCGTGGCGTCCAGCAGCGCGTACGGCAGGCGGAACACAAAGGCGGGCACCGCAAAGCACCAGCCCTGCAGGGGGTAACAAGGGGGAGGGAAGGGTGTGGCTGTGTTGTTGAGTTCGTCGGGGCTGCAAAGAAGGCTCGCGCTTGGGCAGGCGGAGCGGCAAGGCTGGGCGCGCCCACCGGGTAGAACCTCATCTCCCGCTGCTTCCAGAACACGGGCAGGCGCTGGGTGATCAGGTGCATCTCCACGGTGCCGCCTGCGGGTGGCGGCAGAGAGGGGCGGGAGGGAAGGGCAAAGGGCGACGGGCGCTGGAACGAGGGGGCCCTTGCCGGCTGTCGGAGGCCGACCGCTGAGGCCCGCCCCCGCTGCCTGGTGACGACCTAAAAGAATTCGATGATGTAGCGGGTGATGATGAGTGTGAAGTCAGGCACGAGCTCCATCAGGACCAGCGGAGCGCCGAGTGCGGGACCACACCGGCGCTCCGCCTGACCTGATGATGGAGTTCAAGTCCGATTTCATTCTGATCATCACGCGGTACATCGTGGAGTTCTTTGAAGTCATCACCAAGCAGCTGGGACTGGCCTACACGGTAGGCGCCTGCCCTGCGGACGGCAGCACCGCGTCCCAGCCCTGCGCCATCGCAGCGCCGACACAGCGCAGCCCATGGCCGCCCGTGCCCCGCCCCTGGTGCAAGTGGAGGTGTGGATGAAAGGGGAGCGCGAGCCGCACATCTGCCGCACGCAATCAGCTGGAGGCGTGCATCGAGGAGTGCAGCCACACGTACCCCACCATCATCCCCGCCCCCAAGCGCGCCAACGACCTGGCAGTGAGGCGGTGTGGCGGGGCCGGCGGTGTGGGGCTGGGTGGGGTGGTGCTAGCGGCCGCTGCCAGCCACACCCGCCGCACCCATCCCCCAGCCACACCTGCCAAACCCACCCCCCAGCCACACCCACCACACCCACCCCCCAGCCACACCCGCCCCGCGGGAGGCCAAAACGTTCGAGGCGCTGCAGGGCAAGGGCGTGCTGACACTGGCTGGGCTGAAGCGCTCTCTGGATGGCAGCCCCGCGGGGCTGACAGCCGAGGAGGCGGAGGAGATGCAGCGGGCGCTGGAGGCCGCCGCCGAGGGGAACGCCGAGGAACGCCTGAGCGGCGGCCACCTCTCCCATGGCAGGCGCCACTGTACTGTTAGGAAGAGGGTGTTGTGTAGCGTGAGTTTTGTAGCAATACAGCAGCGTTGTACAGCAGCGCC